CCAAATATACCTTAGAATTTTCCTTCAGGCTATCTGGGTCAACTGACATCACTCTTTAACAAAAATTTACTAATCTGAATGTCTCAACCTCATTTTCTAAACAGCAGTGTCTTTGACTGTTTTGTAATTTCAAGTCTGTGCAATCTGTATCCCAATTAAAAACAATTTTATAAACAAATAAGTCACAAAGATATATAAATACCAGTAAAAGTAGAAAGTATCCCAACTTCACCAAGTAATGAAATTTTCAAAAATAAATAAATAAATTTATCCATTTATCACCTAATCAGCCAAGTAAAAGTAGAGTTAAGGCTATAAGAATATGTACTCAAAACACACTTGTGGGCTGGGATTCAATGGTAGAATGCTTGCCTAGCATGTGAGGCCCTGGATTCGATCCTCAGCACCACATAAAAATAAATAACTAAAATAAAGGTATTGTGTCCATCTACAACAACAAAGTCAATATCACAATTGAAACAAAAATTTATAAAACTCTTGGTTGAAATGGTAGCCAACGTTTTCATCCATTTTCTTAAGTTTTTTGCAAATTTCCTTTCCCTTCTGAATCTGACCTTGGGAGAAAGAAAGGACATTCTCATAACAGGGCTAACAGTATAAACTGCTACTTTAGGAGGGCAACTGCATCAGAGCTTTAAAAAATGTATTTTTTGATCCAAAAATTTTATTCCTAGGGAATTATCCAAAAGAAATAATTAAGAATGTTTGTCAAGTAGTTTTATGAACAAGCGTCCACTACAGCACTTAGGGGAATAAGACAAGAAGCCTCAGGACTTAAAAAACAAGGTTCTCCCTGAAGAACAACTTCAATAATAACAGGCAGAACAGAGGCTGCACTAGCTCAGGAAAGACAAATACACAATTCTGATTATGCTCCTCACCCATGGCAGTCAAGATGACTGGAACACAAGACTTTAAACAAAAACTAGGAGTGGCATCAGAATCCTTTCCCAGAGTATAAATAGCCATAAATCAACTGTTGGCCCACAACTTGAAACATTTAGACATGTCTATCATCTGAGAACTATATTCTAAGGGAAGAGATCATGTTTTACACAACTTTGGTTTGTTTGTTTGTTTTTGATACTAGGAATTGAATGCAAGGGTGCTTTACTGCTGAACTACATCCCCAGTCCTTTTTATATTTAATTTTGAGAAAGGGTCTTGCCAAGTTGTGGAGGTTTACCTGGAATTTGCCATCTTCCTGCCTAAGCTTTCAGAGTCTCTGGGATTACAGGTGTATGTAACAGGTCACAACTTTGGTTTTAAGGGTCTAGCACAGCAATGTCTAATAGAAACATAATTTTAGTTACATACATAATTTAAAATTTTCTGGTACCTATATTAACAAGCCAAACAGGAGAAATAATTTCAACATATAATAAAAACAGAACATTAATAATTTATCTTTTTAAAAAACCCTTTTCCAGGGTTGGGGATGTGGCTCAAGCGGTAGCGCGCTTGCCTGGCATGCGTGCGGCCCGGGTTCAATCCTCAGCACCACATACAAAACAAAGATGTCGTGTCTGCCGATAACTAAAAAAATAAATATTAAAAAATTCTCTCTCTCTCCCCCTCTCTCTTAAAAAAAAAAAACCCCTTTTCCACAATAAGTTTTTGTAGCATACCTCAATTCAGATGTTAATTTTGCTGGGAAATCATTCATCTATATTTACATTTCATGAAATCTAAATTAGATCTACATATACAAGGTGTGTCAAGCATTCTTAAAATTGTCCAATAACTGAATTTTTAAATTTTGATTTAAAATTTTTAATTAAACTTTAAAAACTCAGTTACTTAGCCTCAAAAGGCACATTTCAGCAGCTCAATTGCCAACTGTTTCAGCTGCAACTATAATGGACTAATATTTTGCTATTGAGTTAGGGACTGAATTAATTGACAGAAAAAAAATCACACTACTGAGGGCAACACAGGATTAGTCACCTGTGCACACAACTGTATAGATAGGAGGCATACTTCCTATTATACAATGATTCCATTCACAGATGTAAGCAACTGATTTTCCTATTATTTATAGTTGTACCTGATCACTAGACTAAAACAGATTTTATTTTAATTTTCTGTATTTCTTTTACACCAGGTTAGCACATTACAGACTTTTTAAAAAGTTCTTTTAAAGTCATTTTTTATATGAATGTATCTTAATACAGCAAAGGGAACATCAAAAAGTAAAGTATTTGTTAAAATTCAATCTCTCAGCCAACAAACAACAAATTATTGATTTCACAGTAGCAAGAGTAAGAATTGCAGGTTTATAAAGTTATCAAATGCTACTTCAGCCTGACTGGCTTTTTTCCCCCCTGACAAAAGAGCAATATAATCTTATTGACACATGGCAAAGATCACTAATTGTGTTTATGGCCCAATGATTTTTCACACACAACACAGACACACACACACACACGTATGTATGTATGCATGCATGTATATACACATCCTATGTGACCAATATCCAGATAAAGAGAATATTTCCAGCACCCAAGAAAACTCCCTGTGCCCTTTCCTAGTCCATACACTATCAGTGGTAACTGTTACTCTAAATTCTCCAACACAGTTTCATCTCTGACTAAAGAATCTTATATTTTAATTTTATTCAAAATAGTTACTTTTTAGCTTTCTTTTCTATTACATTAATGACCAATTACATTGCCGCCCCAGTCACAGCTATCTACAGCGTATTTCTTGCTTGACTATCATCTTCCCTAGTGAGGAATAACAAACAGATCAAAAATAACCAGTTTATGTTAGGCACAGTGGTCCACATTTGTAATCCCAGCAATTCACAGGAGGATCTCAAGTTCAAGGTCAGCCTGGGCAACTTAGGAAGACCCTGTCTTTAAAATAAAGGGGGTGGGGGTGGGCCTGGAACAGGGATGTAGCTCAGTGGTAAACATGAGAACAAGCACCACTGGATTCAATCCCCAATAGAACCCCCCCACAAAATCATACAAATACATGCCAATACAACAGAATACTAACAGTAAAAATAGGAAGTAAAATCAGAAAATAAGTTTTAAAAATTTAAACAACAGGCAATATAGGTAACGACGCACAATGTTTAAATACACTGATAAGGAGTTGGGAGTCCTACAGTTTCCCATTTCCAGATATTTCTATTTAACTTACTGTCTTGTTAGATCAATATACAATATGTAGCAAATTAAGTTTCATACAAAAACCACATAATCAAGACCACTATTTCCCATAGGCCTTTCAAAATCAAGAGTTAAAAGACTGACTACATTGCACATAGTGATACAAGTTCTGAAACTCAAGGACTTCAACATCTTCTAAAGAATACAGTATATCTTAACTTCATTTCTTCAGCACCTTAATTATATACTAAGAAGCAACAACTTTTTTCAAGTCCCAACTTCCTGGGAGTGAGTGGGAATAAGGACTATTCCTGTGAAATCATCTTAAAATTTTTCATTCAAGAACATGATTCTAAGCTCCCAATCATAAGCAATAAGAACTGTGCTTATGGACTCTTAATGCATGGTTGCTGGCATAAATTACAGATTCAGTAACTTTTCTCTAACACCGACCTCATTTCTAGAGATCTGCCTCCATCACACCACACTTAAATATCCATTTAAAATAAAAAAATGAGTTAAGAGAGAGCACAGCATCTATACTCAAGTACTGTATCAGAAAACAAACAAACAAAAAAAGAGACTCCCCAAATATGCTGAATCAAAGTAAAATAGCCCCAAATTCCTGGATCACGACCCAGTTGGGAAAAATAATTTCAAGACATACAATTCAACACTGAAATGGATCTCGGGTATTTAAAGCAAATCAGAGTAGGAAAACATGTTACAGACCTAAAACCAAATAAATAAACTTCCTTGGAATCTCTTCTACACTTCAAACATAAATAGAGATAATATTTAAACCTTAATTTTAGGCAGTATGAAGTTACTCCATAAAGTAACTTACTTCATCTTCAAAAGAGCTGCTGAATAGTTTGAATAGTTTAGGTAACTTAAAGCATAATTATAATCCTTCAACCGATTTACGATAGTAAGAAAAAAAATTTTTTTTTCAGGCGTCTGAGAAAGCTTTTACAAGGTTCTCTTTCTTCCTCTGAGGATTCTAAAGGCAAGCTCCCAAATACTCATTTAAGCAATTCTATAATGTAACTAATACTGTAAGTATATAATTTAATGGCAAGAAGACATGGTATGCAAACGGAAACAGTTAAATCAAAATAATCCCTAATTTTATTCAAGAGAGAGAAAAAAATCAAATCTTAACTTTGTCAACCATGCTGAAGAAAGCATAGTAACCCAGAATCCCTTCAGAAGCACTTAGGGGGCAATTACCAACTGCTGAAGCAATAGCTCCACCTATTGATTCACAATACTTCCTTAAACATTTTGGCACCCCAAGTCTACACTGTTTGAGCTCATTCCCCCTCCTCCACTCCCTCTGACCCAACCCAAATCTAGTTGAGTCACTAGCTCTTAATACTCATGCCCATGCTCTTTATTCCAATTCCTTCTCCCGCCAGAAGGTTCTGCACGGACCCCAAATGCGAATGAAATGGAAAGGTGTCAAAGACTGTAGTTCCAGTTGTTAAGCATGGATCTGGATAAGAGGACAACCTGACCATTGCACGAGAAATGGGCCGGAGGTGGCTCAGGAGTCCGCTCCGGGGTAAGAGGCCCTAGGCGCCTCACAATAGTTTTTCCTTCTTGCCCCTACCCAGCCACACTTATCCTCGGGACAAAATCCTAGGTTCACCACTCTTGCCACCGCTAGCCCTTCAGCCCGCCAACAGCCTTGGTCGCCTCCGCCTCCTCTAGGAACAGAGGGAAGAGAGAAGCCTGGAAATCTCCCTTCGCCCGGTCATCGCCCTTAGTTTTTCCCCTTCTTCGCAACATTCCCCCTACACGGGCCCGGGCCCCAACACCCTGCCCGCCGGGCCCTAGCAGGCTGCCCTTCCTCACCCTTTCATCTTCCCCGCCTGCTGAGGCCGTCGTTACCACCGCTATCAACGCCGTCGTCCTCGCCGCCCCGAGCTCTCGGCGCCCTCAACCCCACAAGCCGGCCTCCTCGCCTAGGGCACAGAGCTGAAGGGGTGACGGAGGCCGCGAAAGTCGAGGGCGGCCCTGAGTCTCCGAAGGGGGCGGGGGTGTCTCCAGCAGCCGCGCTGGTGCCGCGGCTTCTTCACACGTGCACTCAGGGCAGTCAGCTCCCGCCCGCCGCCGCCGCCAGCCGGACCCGCCGCCGCGCCGTGACCTTTAACCCCGCCCCCTCTGCGCGCCGGCGCGTCCGCCGCCTCGCGCGCAGCCGCACTGCTAGCCTCTACGTTCCCTCCCACCCACCCCCACTTCGGGACCTCCATCTTTTTCCTGGGCTTTGCCTTCGGGCGTTATGCTCCTCCTCCCATCTCTTACGACACTACTGGTGGGGCTAGCTTGGTAGGCCCTGGCGGTAAAATCCGGATTTTTCTGCCCCTCCTTCTTCTCTCCCACCTCAGCAAGATAAACCCTTCCCGACCCGTTTTTCCCAGCTGGTAGTATCCAGAGTGACCTTCAAACACTCGTATCCTAATAAGGCTTTATAAAGCTGTTTCTTAAGGAAGTCCTAGAAAACTCAACTAAATGAGGTGCTTTTAAAACAAACACAGTCAACAACCGGCAGGGTAACTTGGCTACTCTCCAGCACAGCTCAAATTTTGAAATCACGTGATCGGCCCAAACCTTACAGCCTGGGATTTTACCGGCGGGCCTCAGAGGGACGGAACTCCATCGCCATTTCCGGTCCCTGGCTTGTGGCTTGAACGTCACTTCCTTAGCAATGCACTTTAACCCTTGTCATCCTCGCCTTCTGCATTGCACAATCTTTGTAAAAATATATGCTCACTTTTTCTTTAGACGCAAAACAAAACAAAAAAAAAATGTTCAAGAGATCTGCAGATCCCAGCTCGTGGGATGCAGCGCTCTAGGATGGGGAGGATGCAGGGCGGAGCTCGAGGTCACGTGACTGACTAGACCCGCCCCGCCCCCTTGCAGCTGAAGACATCCCCTCCCGCAGTGACAGAGTCTCTGGATCTGTGGTCGGTACAGTTTCTGCACCTCGCGCCCCAGCAGGTGAGCTGCGACCGGTAACTGGCGACTGGTGGGGATTGTAGAAGGGAGTAGGAGAAGACAAGGGAGACTGTAAAGAGTGGCCTCCACTGCTTGGGGTTTCCTCCCCGCTGTCACCGTGCACTGGCAAGGAGCTTATTTCTCCACATCTCTTGACCCCCCCCACCCCCCACCCCTCAATGTGATTGTCCCGCTACCTGTGATTTGAGGTGTCCACCTTTTCCGGGGTTGAGAGTGAGTGCGGCCATTATGGTTCCCTATTTGGAATCTTTGGTGCTACAGGTAGTAGGATTGCTTCAATCTTTCCTCAGGGTCTGCAACAGCCGCCAGCCCCCACTCCCCATTCCCCAAAGCCTATTCTTTGGCAAACGCCCTCACCCGGGTGAGCAGGAAGACAGGAAAAACCCTGGAGGCAGAGACGTCTGCGGTGAAACAGGCTTGGGAGGGAATGTCACTGATATGGCCCTCACTGCAGTCACTGAAAAGCTTCCTTTCGAATGTGTTTTCTCAGTAATTCTAAGGGTTTTATCTGGCATCCTTGCAGGAGAGGTTCTGTGGATGTCCATCTCCTTTGGGTGGGAATGGAAGGGTAAAAGCAGAACTTACAACTTTTTCTTCTTCGAGAGGGTGGATAGTTGAAGGAATAAAGATATGCTGTCTTCAAAACAAGGGTGTTGGTAATGCGACATTCTCGATTGAATGGAGAGTCTTTGAAAGATGGTGTTGCTGTGTGTTGGTCTGCAGTAGGCCCAGGCTAGCTTATGGGAACGTGACTAGGTTTTCCTGAAAGGGAAGTAATTCTTTGGAAACTGATTGGGCTGGGTGTATAATTAAACCAAATTTATTTGACCATAACTTAAAAGACAAGATGATTAAGTAAAGATACTGCTGGCTGTTTTCTGCCTTTGTCATTCTTTTTGCCTTTCCTCCTTAAAATCTACTTAATTGACACTCCCAATCAATACCTTGACCAACTTTGTGGTAAATTTGAATTAAATAAAGCTTGTGTTTCTCCTTAGTTTTTCCCAGTGGTGAATAGTATTTTGTGAAAATACAGAAATTGTTTTGCCTAGATTTTTGACTACCCAGTGCTTCTCCATTTAATATATAATGCAACAGCCAATGTTTTTACCCTAAATAATGTACTTTAGGAAAGAATGTGTTCCAGTTTGGGGTTAAACTTTTTTATTTGTATTGCAAACTCAGAAAGTTCTTGTTTCTTTTAAATTGAAAGTCCCTACCAAAAATTACAAATATGATTTTTGAAGTTTGAATTACACCTAATATGAAAAATCACATTCTGAGTTAAACCTTGTAGTTTTCTAACCAGTGTAATTGAAGAATCTCTTTAAAAGTCTTGAAAAATGAGGAAGATGGAATCATTATCTTTTGAGTTGTGAATGTGCTGACTTATTTTTGTTTTTCTGTATCTTCCAAATTGAACTTGTTTTGTTAAGGAAAGCTCAAAGTTAAACCTTATTAAATGATGGCAAAATGGAAAAACTGGCCTATTGATGTTTCTTACTAGAAAACACAACCTTAATGATTCTTGATATTTACCCAAGTAATAAAGATCACTGTTGTCTTTTTTGTGGAGTTTGAATTTTCGCACATTGTACTTATGACCTATTCTGGACAATACACTAACCATTGATATATTTATATAGCCATGACTATTACAGATGTGAATATATTTTTGTTCATTTCATTTGTCCAGAGTGAGGTTCCCTGATCTTTAGAGGAGAGAAAAAAATAGTGTTGCTTCCTTGTCCAGATGACATCACACCAATAAGGAGAATTCTTTAAGTGCTCTGGAAATCAAAACCTGTTCTGTCCAGGTACACCAGAATAGGCAAGAAAAAAACCAATTAAAAAGCAAGTTCAGTACAAGAGAGGAAAATACCAATATGAAAGAGGTTGAATGAGTCTGCAGTTTTATTTCACAGTTCTTCCAATTTTAGGGAACTTATGAAAGAAAGAACTCAGACAACTGATGAAATCTGGAAAATTAGCAGCAGGAATTGGTGACTAAATTGTTGTATAGGTACACACACACACATGATTTGAAGTTTGGAAGGCATTTTACAGACTAACTATCAATTTGTGAGTGTTACATGTAGAAATTTTAACATTTATTGAGAAAGTGTGTTATAATCCACTATAAAACAACACATAAAGATTTTTGTGTTAGGGCCCCTGATACCTCTTATTTTCTTACTATGAGGTCATTCTCATTTTTACTGCCTTCATAGATTGTTATAACCACTAAGAATGTTTCCTTCCCCTATGAGCAGAGGTAATCTTGCAGTCCTGTGGACTACTACACAATGTTTTTCTGTTTTTGTTTCTGGCATATTGCTGTTAGTTGGACTGTTCCTCCTTAAATCATAAAGCTCCTAGGAGTTCAAGGACTATGTCTTTATTGTTGTTTCTTCTGCACAAGAATGCAGAAGTACCTGAGAGGTACTCATTAAACTGTTGATTGAGTGAATGCTGAACAATTAGACAAGGAGATTAAACTATTTTAACTTCTGGAGATCATAACTCCTTCTAAGTTCGTACACTTTTAGATATAAGTTTTATATTTTTAAATATAAGGTATTAGCTTTTAAATATAAGTCAGTAATAATAGTTTTCCAAGTCATGATCAATAGAATAGAAACAAACTTCATATAGACTTCATTAGGTTCACAGTATGTATATTTAATAATAGATACGGCTTATCAAGAACTATGTAATGTTTTGAACAGCCAACAATAAAAAAAAAAAAAATAGATACGGCTATCATCCAGATATGGTAGGGAAGTGGTAGGAGTAAGTTATTTTAAATGAAAAATTAACTCTATTATCTACAAGTGAAGTTGCAGTAACTAAAACAGAGGATCTTCATTCAGCTGTGCCAGCTTAGTTCTATGCTACATGCCTTTGTTGGGAGTGCTGGTTTCGGGTTTGATATCGAGGGTATATAAAGCTGTGAGTTAGAATGAGATGATTCTAGATAATCTATTAGAAAGTATTTTTAAAACTAAATGGTGGTTGGGCTGGGGATATAGCTCAGTTGGCAGAGTGCTTGCCTTGCATGCATAGGGCCCTAGATTCAATCCCGACACCACAAAAAAAAAAAAAAAAAAAAAACTAAAGTGGTGAGGCTAGGGCTGTAGCTCAGTGGTAGGGTGCCTGCATGTGTGAAGCACTGGGTTCAACCCTCAGTACCACTGTCTTTACATTTCGATTTCCCAAACTGAAGCCTGGGTTTACAGTCTCACCCCAACTCTTAATAGCTGAATGGCCTTGGGCACATTACTTAAGTAAGATTGTTTCCTCAAGTTTAACTCTATCCCATAGGTGCTGTTAAATTTAGATGAGTGTACAGTGTCTAGTACACACTTGTAAAGTTTTTTTTATTATTAACTTTACTGGCATCTACTTTGATTTTATGTAACTGAATTCCTAAAAGAGACTATATCCTACAAAACTTGACTAACACCCATTTTTGAGCACCAGGTTAGATATGGTGAAGAAAGTAGCATATGAAATGAGGCTATTAAGGAAAAATCAAAGCAGAAAAAATATATGTCTAGCAAAGTTTCGTTTCTTTTCTTTCTTTCTCTTTTTCTTATGAGATGAGGATCTCACTTCACTGTGTTGCCCAGGCTACCTTGAACTCCTGAGCTCAAATGATCTTCCTGTCTCAGACTCGCAAATAGCTAGGACTACAGGTGCACACCATCGTACCCAGCTTCTAACAAATAATTAATAGGAGCTGAGAAATATCAGCAAAAAAGTCCTGTATTTTATCAATTATAGTGATTTAGTATTTTCTGCACGAAGATTTTCCAAAGCATGTGGTAATTAATGTGTGGAATCAATTTAAGGAGGCAGTTCTTCTATTTCTAATTTTTTTGTCCACAATGAATAATAGAAATATATTGTACAAGCTGTAGAGTGGTGTTATTTTATATCTTATTTTTATCTTCATGAAATTGACAAAGAAATGTAAGGAACCGAGGATACATGAACTAGATAATAGTTTTCCTTTCCTAAATTAATACTCACAGGATTAATAGTTTTGCAATGGTAAATATCAGTAAGTTAAACAGTAATTAAAGTATAGCTTCTGTGAGCTTATATGTCATTTTAATCATAAAAAATATTGCTCCTTCATTCTAAGGAAAGATTTTATTAAAAGATTAAATATTTTCTTTAACGTCAGTTCTCTGTTCTTAAACTTAAAATATAATAAATGCATACATTCATTTTTAATTTATACATATATTCATTGTTTATTATAAATAGTGACTAATAAGAATGTATTCCATTTAATTTCTGTAGAGAATTTTAAAGTTTAACTATTCTGTTTTTTTCATATTATGAAATGAAAAAAATCTTTGGGTTATATAAGTATTTTCTAAGTAGTGTTATATATGTACATATACTATACAATATTGTACATATTATATAAATATATAAAGTTTGTGTCTATACAGATGCAGCTGAAATGGATTTTTATCTTTATAGTACCAGGTCTTTCTTTTCACTGGAAATTATTAAAACTATCTTAAAATTAGTTGTTACTATGAATAAAATTATGTAATGATGTATGTGAGATACCCCTTCCTGTCCATTGCTGTGTAATTAGTTCTAGTACATTTCACAGTTGTGAATAGCCTTCTTTAAAAATTTATGTATTTTCAGATTTGAATTTTTATATCCTGGTTTTTTTTCATTCTTACAGCCTGTGATTTTTTGTCACCATTATTTTTATTGTTATTATAACTAACCAAAATTTTTCAGTTTTAAATCTTAATTCTACCTGTAGAAATTTATTGTTGTTTTGATGATGAATCTTTTTATTGAAAATAAGGTGAATGGTGAATGATATGACACACAAGAGTTCCAGATGTACTTAAGCAATGAAAAGCAGCCAGACTTTGTTTTATTCTGATTATTTCTTAAATTTTTTTTTAAATGTTCGTTTAAAGGCAAAATAGAGGCAAGGCATGATGGCACATGCCCATTATCCCAGGTATATAGGAAGCTGAAGTAGAAAGATTGTGAGTTCAAGGCTATATAGCAAGATCCTTTCTCAAAATAAAACGTATAAAAAGGGTTGAGGTGTTGCTTAGTATTAGAATGCATGCCTAACATGGATGAGGCCCTGAGTTTGATCCTCAGCAACACACACACAAGCACATAACGCGTGTGCACGCACGGCTGATAGACAAACAAAAACAAAATAGAGAAGGCGAGATTGGGAAATACCTGTAAAATTGAAGAAAGGGCATGTGTATAGTAGTGACTATATATACAGAATGAAAAAATTTGGCAGGAAATGCATCAAAAAAAAATAAGGATCTCTAGAACATTAAAGAAAGATTCAAAATTTATTACTCTACATCTATTTATTTGGTTTTTTATAATCAATAAACATTGTAAACAATTTTTGCTCGATATGGAAAATGGAAAATTAAAACATTGAATTCTTTCATCTTATATGTATAGATGTATTATTAGGCTAAAAAATGTAACTTCAGCAGAATTTTAAAAAGCAGAAGCTAATGCTAGTATATATAGGGATTTGCTACATGATAAAACAAATTCCAGTAGGGAAAATAGGCACATGTATATTATAACTAATTCAATTGGTCCATTTGGAGAAAAATATAATGGAGCCAATGCTTTGCAACATATACAAAAACCTATTTCAGATTGATTGAAGACTGAAATGTAAGAGATAAATACTTAAAATATTAATCTTCTGAATTTTTTTGCAAATGCAGTCTAAGCTAAGGCAGAAAATGTAAAAATTATAAAGGAAAAATAAACATGTGAGCCTATATAGAAATAAAGACTTCTTCAGTGGTGATAAGGACAAAAGTTTAAAGTACTTACAAAAAGAGTTAACATTTTAAAGAACTCTTATAAATTAAGAAGTTCACCTGATACAAACATAAATAAAGCATGTGACCAGAAGTTAATGAGAAGAAAAATCTATAGCATGAAAAGTAACCTTACTAGTGATCAATATATTATCAATGAAATACTACATCTCTGACTAGCAAAAATTAAGTGATAAATCTGCTAATAAGGATGTACAAGGAAGAATTTTTCTCACAAAATGCTAGTGGAAATGTGAATTACTACAGGTTTTTATTTTTAGTAAATGATCAGATAATGTCTGTTAGTCCTGAAAATACGTATTTTTCCATTAGTCAGCCTCCCTCCATGGAATCTTTTCCTTACACATAAAAGCACCAATAATTAAACAAGTGTTTACATGAATGTTGATTGCCAAAATGTTGGTAGTGGCAAAAACCTAGGAACAGGGATATGCCTGTTAATAGGGGAATTATGTAAATTATGACACATTATGGAATGTTGTGAAGTCATTCAATGATAGCAGTTGAATCTATATTGACTTGGAGGGATTTCTATCATGTTTCTCATGTGATAAAGGCTAAGTATAAAGAAATGTGTATAGTGAGATTTTATTTTTATAAAACTGTGTGAAAACACACCATGACTTTTGTGTATGTTTATATAGGTTGTTGACATTGGAAGAAGAAAATAAACAGAAAAGGAAGGAGAAAGAAAGGGAGGAAGAAAAGGTACTGTATCCGCCATCACATGCATATAAAAATACATGTTTGCACATGCCTACATATGCAGTGTATTGCAGGAAAGGATGATCATCAAATTGTTCAGTGGTTATCTCAGTGGGTAAATGGGCATTTCAGGTTATTTTTGCTTTCTTCCTTGTATTTTTCTTTATTACATGTTTTGGTTTTTTGTACCAGGGATTGAACCTAGGGATCCTTAACTACTGAGCCACATCCCCAGCCCTTTTTTATATTTTATTTAGAGATTAACCACTGAGCCACATTCCCAGCCCTGTTTTATATTTTATTTAGAGACAGGGTCTCCCTGAGTTGCTAAGTGCCTCAATAATCTGCTGAGGCTAGCTTTGAACTTGTTATAGGCGAGCGTCTCCATGCCCAGCTCTTTATTACATGTTTTTATTTTCACAATGAACATGTAGTGTTTTAGTAATTAGGGGAAAAAAAAAAAAACCTTTTAACATTTTAGAAAAGAAATAGAAGGCCAGATAGAGCAAAGAAGAAATTAATAAAAGGAAAAATACATTTGAAATGGCCAAATGACTCTTACCTAAAATATTTATTGTTGTTGTTGTTATCTTAGGTGTCTGAGAGAAAAGTGAATAAATTATCCTAATAACTCCATAAGTTATCCTTAATTTTATGTATGTAATAACTCTTGGATATCCAATAAGTATCATGAATACTGTATTAGAAAATAATAGGTATTACCAGATAAAGTTACAAATTGACATTTTGTTTTTGGTGTGGTATTAAGTGTTCCAGAAATACTTTCTGCCTTAGTGATATAGAGCATTTTGTACAAGGATAGACTCTGTAAACTGATTTACTCTAATGACAGAATCATTATATGATAGTCCATTATTGTGAACTCTACAAATTTGTTTTGAAGTCACTTAGGTTATATGGGGGGAAAAAAGTAATTTCAGAGTATGTTAAGAGGCAACATAGGAGGAACTCTAGTACTGACATCAGAGAGTGTGGTTCAAATTCTGAGGTTTCTGGGCTGGGATTGTGGCTCAGCAATAGAGCGCTCGCCTAGCACGGGCGGGACCCGGGTTCAATCCTCAGCACCACATAAAAAAAATAAAGGCATTGTGTAGTGTCCATCTACACCTAAAAAATAAGTATTAAAAAAAAAATCAGGGGTTTGTGCTTCTTAGTAGAGTGGCTTTGCAAAAATTACTTATGTCTTTCTGTATTGCGTTTTTCTCACCTTTCAAATAAAGGTAAAAAGAGTTTTCTTCATTGAGTGTTATAATGATTAAAGGAATGATAGTATAAGAAAAATGATTAAATAACTTGACTTTTAAGAGCAATGTTAATATTTGCCATTAATTTGCCTAGTTAATTGGATATATATATATTATATATATATATATATATATATATATATATATATAGTTTTGTTTTTTGACTCAATTGTTTTAGCATTCATTGAATTATTCAACAATATTTAAGTTGGATAATCCATGTTCAAATGTGATATAAATTATATATTTAGATATTTCTGTTTTCTCTTACTGTCCCAAATCTTCAGCCTGTCCCCCGGTTACATATTTGTTACAAGTGGTAGTACCTATTCATATTATTTTGGACCTTCCTTTTTTCACTTAATATTATCTTGGAGATCTTTCCAAACTTATACAGTTAAAGCTTCCTCATGCTTTTTAATGATAGGTAAGTATTCAATTGTACTAATGTATCATCATTATGGTGATTACAATGAGATTATTATTCAGAGTTTATTCCTGATCCAGGTACTTTTCTTAATACTTTAGTTGTATTTACTCATTGAACAACCTTCTAAGATTTAGTTAATATTTTTTTATCCTCATTTAACAAATGATTAAAATTAGGCAAAATGTGGTTAAATGACCAACAGTGTAACACAGTTCATAAGTGGAAGAAATCAGGATTTGAACTCTGGGAGTCTCTTTCCAGAGATTGCTGTCTTAATAACACTAAACTTATAGCCTATTATATCACAAGTTAAGCTTGTCTTCATATTAATGGACATTCCAATTTTTTGCAGGGGGAGGTACTGGGGGTTGAATTTTATTTACAGACAGGGTCTCACTTAGGCCCTCACTGAGTTGCTGAGACTGGATTTGAACTTGCAATTCTCCTGTCTCAGCCTCCCAAGGTCACTGGGATTACAGGCCAAGCACCACCATGCCAAGTCCATTCTAATCTTTTGTATAAGAAACAGTAATGTAATGAGTGTTTTATTAATAGAACATACTGTACACACACAGAATATCCTTAGAAATGAAATGGCTGGATCAAAGGATGCATTTTGATAGGTGTTGTCAGATTAATTTCCATTTTAGGGCTGCACAGAAGTTCAGCTTTGTCCTCAGTAATTTGTTGAAATCTGCTATTTAACTTGAGTCTTTGAAAGAATGAGTAGCTGAATTTAACATTTCTAGCTTCCCTGAGTTGTGTGCCATCTGTTATCATATGATAGCATAGGGTACAGTCAAATGGGATCAATGTAACAGTGTCAGTATAAGAAAAAGACATAACATTTGGATTTATTAATCTATAAGTAGTGAAGAAATAACTTGAAATGCTTCTTATGTGACTTATACATTGAAATTCTATCAATTAAAGTTTGTGTATATTATTGAAAGAGTAAAATATTTTAGAAATTGTTAATTGTGAAATTTGCTGATTTTGTGTACCAATACAATTACATAAGAGACTTACATAAGTAGGGAATTTTCAATTAATATGATCATTGAGTATACTAGTGAGCCAAATGTAGGAGTAATACTATCCTTTTCTGTGAAAAATAAATTATCAAAAATCCATGAGTTCCAATTTTAGGTAATACAAAATTAGACATTGAGGAACTTTATTCAGATGAATTACAAAATCCACAAATTATTTCAAGTGAAATATCTTCTGTTCAATACCTTCTATTTCCTTTCTTTCAAGAAAGAAAAAAAATATTTCTTATGAATATAAGAAGCACTGTGATTGAACTCTTTAGTGTGATACAAAGGATACGTTTAGAATTACAGAATCTGCTCAGATCCCCAGCATACTACACCTGCAAGTGTTTGAATGTGCATTTATAGTACTTAGTATCATTCATAGTTGTGTGTGTTTTAAGTATGACCTCAGATAATAATTATTTATCATTTAAATTAATTCTGTCTCAAATTAGAGCAGCATGAAACAACAGGAAATACCTATCTCTACCTTCTAAAGGAGCCATTGAATCATATCAATTTTGATGTCCAAAATATTAGAGCTTAGCCTTTGTCTTAGAAGAGAAACCCTTCTGTGCCTCATGCCTCATCTAAGCTTTTGTAAACTATTATGCTTTATCCTGAAAATATTGAGCATATAGTATTGCAGATGCATATCTGACTACTGTGTTTCTGAGCTATTAAGAGACTGTGGAAGTTCTCAGGATTCATTGAGCTGGACTGAACAAGAGAGTGCCATTCTCAAGGAGTCACATGCATTCATTTTTAAGAAATAGACCAAAATCCATTTGATTTAAGTTTTTATCTGGTTCCCTGAAGCTAAAAGGTGGGTTTTTTTTAAAATCAATTTCTCATTGGCCATGTAGTCTTTTATAACTACTCTGTTAGTTGGCAAGAAAAACAAAAGTAAATATATATTCACTGTACATATTATGCCATTACAAGAATTGTACTGCCAATATGTTGTGCTTTTTCGATACCACGGATTAAGCCCAGAGATGCTTTACCACTAAATCACATCCCTAGTCCATTTTCTTTTTTTATTTTGAGATGAATCTTATTTGCTAAAGATCTTACTAAATTGTTGAGGCTGGTCTTGAACTTGCAATCCTCCTGCCTCAGCCTCCCCTGTCACTGGGATTACTGGCATGTATCTCCATGCCCAGCTCAATACTTTGTGCTTTTAAAATGAGTTCTATTGAGGTTTAATTGAGTTCTCTTGAGCTTTAAATTGAGTACATTTAAATTTACAATTAGATAAGTTTTGATGTATGTATGCACTAATGAAACCATCACTGTAATCAATATGTCCATATTGAATCATAACTATCATGCCCTAAGAAACATGCCTCTTTGTAAATCCATTCCTTCCATACTTCCCCAGGCAACCACTACTGATCTGTTTCTTATTACTATAGGTAAGCCTGCATATTTAGAATTTTTTATAAATATAAATATTTATTTTTTTTGTTTGCCTTTTACTCATCATAATTGTTTTAAGATTCTCTGAGGTTATTACATATATTATTAATTTATTTCCTTTTATTGCTGAATGTGCCATTTTATGGAATATCACAATTTGTTTATCTATTCACCTGTTCGTGGATATTTGATTTCTATTTATATTGTTTGACCATTATGAATAAAGCTTCTGAGAACATCCATATAAAAGGTTTTGTTTGGATATCAGCTTTCCTATCTCATGGGAGAAGTATGGCTGAATTGTATGGTAGGTGTATATTAAACATTTTAAGAAACTGCTAAACTGTTTTCCAAAGTGGTTCTATCATTTTACATTCCTACCTGGAGTATATTAGAGTTCTAGTTGCTTTAAATCCTTATCAATAAAGATTTAATCCATGGATCAGTCTTAAACTTTTAGCCATTCTAATACATGTTGAAGGACATTTCATTGTGGTTTCATTTGATGTGTCCAGTGATTAATGATGATAAGCATATTTCAAGTAGTTCTTTGTTGTAAATATATCTTCTTTGATGAAATGTACGTTCAAATATTTTGCCTATTTTAATTGGATTGTTTTGAGAGTTCTTTATTCAGATTATGTGTCCTTTATCAGATTCATGTTTTGTAACTATTTTCTCCTAGCTAGTAACTTATTTTTTCAACTAACAAATGTCTTCCCCCCCCCCCCCCGGAATTTCTTTTTTTTTTAAATTTTTACCCCAAATACAAATTGTAGAATCACACTCACATTTTTACATAATGGCATATTAATGACTGTTGTATTCTGCTACTTTTCCTATCCCCTA